AAAAAATTTGTTTGCTAAACAGTTGACAATAATTCCCTAAAAAAAAAAAAAAAAAAAGAAAAAATTAAATTACGGGGATGATTAGAAATGTCATCATGCATACTTTAATCCTAATGAACATATATTATTAAACCAATTTGTGAAATAACCTGCACAATAGAATTTAATTTCATAATGAACAGTTTTTTTTCTTTTTTCTTTTTTTTAACATTTTTCTATCTGTTAAATGTTTTTATCCTTGTACCAAACATTCATCCTCCACCACCCACTCCACCATCCACCCTTCCCACTTATAGTCTATAGCATCCACATCCGTCCTCTCCACTATCACATCTTCAGCTCTCTCAGCTCTGCCATAAGGTGCAGACACTCAGTACAAGTTGAATGAGGGTATTCAATGTGTATCTTTCAAAGTCTTGCTCATTTCACTCAAGATTAAGTGTTCTGTCATCCATTTTGAATTAAACTATAGGCTCTCATTGTTTCTTATGGGTGAGTAATATTCCATAGTATATATATGTAGCACTGTTTTTCAACCCAGTTATTGGGTTTTGGACACTTAGATTGGTTCCATGTTTTAGCAATTGTAAATAATACTGCAGTAAACAGAAATGTGCAAATGTCTTTCTGATTGAGTGTTTTCCTGTCCTTTGGATAAATACCAAGAAGTGGGATTACTGGTCATATGGAAGTTCTGTTTGTAAATTTTTGAGAAATCTCCATGTTGTTTTCCACAGAGATTGAACTAATTTAATTTACATTCCTACCAATAGTATAAGAGAGTTCTCTTTTCATTGCAGCCTTGCCAACACTTGTCATTATTTATTTATTTATTTATTTTTGATCCTAGCTGTTTTGATTGGGGTTAAGTGGTATCTCATTGTAGTTTTAATTTGCATTTCCCTTACAACGAGACTTTAAATATTCTTTCATATGTCTTTTGGCCATTCGTAAGTCTTCCTTGGAGAGATGTCTATTCAGTTTATTCGCCCATTTTTAAATTGGATTATTCATTTTTTAATGGGCGAGCTGCTTGAGTTCTCTGTATATTCTAGATATCAATCCCTTGTCTAAGGAAGATTTTGCAAATATTTTCTCCCATTCCGAGGGTTGTCTTTTCACTATAGTTAATAGTTTTCTTTGCTGTGAGGAAAGCTTTTTAGCTTGTTGTAATCCTACTTATCTATTTTAGGGACCATTTCCTAAGAAATTGTCTACTCTAGTGTCTTCAAAAGTTTCTGCTAAGTTTTCTACTAGTAGTTTTGTAGTTAGAGACTTGATATTGAATCTTTGATCCATTTTGAGCTAGTTCTAGTAAACGGTGGGAGAGAGAGGTCTGGCTTCATTTTTCTGCAGATGGTTACCTAGTTTGTCCAACACTATTTGCTAAGAAGACTTTCTTTTCTCCACGGCATTGTCTTATGCCCTTTATCAAAGATCAGTTGACGTATGATTTCAGTTTTATTGCTGGATTCTCTATCCTGTTTCATTGGTCTGTGTATTTTTGTGCCGATATCATGTTGTTTCACTGCTTTGTGATACACTTTAAAAAGTCAGTTGTAACATGCCTCCTATTTTACTTTTTGGTACAGTGTTGCCTTGGCAATACAAGGTCTATTTTTGTTAATTTCAGACAAATTTTGTAATTGTTTTTTCTTTTTCTATGAAGACTGTCTCAAGTAATTGGATTGGAATTTTATTAAATATGTAAATTAATTTGGGTAAGCTGACATTTTGATTATTATTAATTTTTCCAATTCAAGAACACAGGATATCCTTCCACTTTTTGGTATCATACTGAATTTCTTTCTTTTTAATTTTTTTTCCCCTTAAGAGAGATTTTTGCTATAGAGTGCATGAGCTCACTGGAGAAACAGAGACAGAGAGATGGAAAGTGAGAAATCACCCCCCAGAAGGGATGGCCACACTGCAGTCCTTTCTCCTCCATTTTCCTCTTGGGATTTTAGGTATGCATGTACACATACCCAGTGTGAGTTTTAAGCCACCGAGTCTGGGACTCAAACCTTGGTCGACTGTGTGGGAGTTCATTGATGTTACCATTACATTATCTGCTGGTCCCTCATACTCAATTTCTTTTTTCAGTTTTTCAAGTTCTTTTTATAGAAGTCTTTCACCTCTTTGGTTGGATTTATTCCTAGGTGTCTTTGTTTTGTAGCTATTTTAAATGAGATTGCTTTCTTCAAGTCTGTTCATTGTTGATGTATTGGGTCATCAGAAATGTCTTGATGCATTTTTGCATAGAAAAGCAGAAAAATACATCATGACATTTCTGACCATCCAAAATTGAAATGCTATAGGTTTTTGTATATTGACTTTGTATCTTGCAACTTTACTGAATTCATTTATCACTTCTAAGTGTTTCATCATGGATTCCTGGATTTTCTAGGTATGTAACCTATCTTCAAATAGGGACTATTTAGCTTCTTCTTTTCTTGTCTGAATGCCTTTTATTTTGTTCTCTTGTCTGATTGCGTTGGCTAGCGCTTCCAGCACTGTATTAAAAGGGAGTGGTGAGAATGGACAGCCTTGTCTTGTTCCAGTTCTTAATGGGACAGCTTTTAGCTTTCCCCATTCAGTATGAGGTTTGCAGTAGGTCTGTCATATATGACTTTTATTATGTTGAAGAATGTCCCTTCTTTTTTTATAATAATAATTTGTTTATTTAATTCTGTTTGTTGTTAATATTTTTTAATTTGACCAGAGAGAGAGAGAAAGAGAGAGAGAAAGAAAGGGAAAGCAAAAGAGAGAGAAAAGAAGGGAAAGCAATAAAGCAAGCCACCAGGTCCAGGATTCAAACCATGGTCAGCCATGTGAGAATCCAGCATCTTTAACCACCATGCCATCTGCCAGCCCAAGGAATGTCCCTTCTACCCTAATTTTGCTGAGAGTCTTGATTATGAAGGGATATTGTGTTTTATCAGATGTTTTTTCCCATTTTACTGCTGCACCACTGTTTGACCCTTAATTCCACTAATGGATTTGAAGAAGAAAGAATATTCTTTTTCTTTTTTTTAAACTTCATTTATGATCATATGATTTTTATCTTTTTCCTGTTAATGTGATGTATTACATTTATCGTTTTATGTTTGTTGAACTATCCTGGCATCCCCAGGGTAAAGCCTACCTGGTCATGACTTAAAATCTTCTTGGTCTAATTTTAATTTGAAAATGGAGCTCTTGTAGTGTTGGTATATGTCCATTTTGCTGTTTTTCAGTGGAGAAGAGTTTTTCCCAACATCCAACAGTCTTCTTCATGGAACACATGTGCCTTCCGCAGAAGAAATTGATAGGATGGTTATAGATCTGGAAAAACAGTAAGCATTCAGTAGAATAGCCAGAAATTTTAAATGTGTAATGACGGAATGTGTATCTAAGGTTAGTGTGCTTCGAATGAATTAAATGAACAGGGATTACACTGGTTAATTTCTGACCTTCTATCTATAGTGATTTTGGAGATACTCGGCAAGTATGGTTTGAGTTCATGTGATTTAGAATGGACATGCTAAATACCAAAGAAATTGAATCGTTATAATTGAAGGGGAAGGTCTAAAACAGTTAGTTTTTAGACCTTTAAGAGTTCTTTAAGAGTTTTTACTTTAACAATCATCATACAATTAAAAAAAAGTTTATTTATTCCTTGGAAGAGATAGACAGACAGCTTTCCCAATAGGGTCTTGACACCATAGTCAACCCCCAACTTGAGCAAGCCCCAGATTGTGTCATGCATGTGTACGGTGTACTCAGGAGAGTCTCTGGACCCAGACCTGGAGCCCCTCCATGTGGGTCAGCTTCACAGGGTATCCCATTTTACTGCTGCACCTCTGTCTGGCCCCTAATTCCACTATTTGATTTGAAGAAGAAAGCATATTCTTTTTCTTTTATTAAACTTCATTTATTGTTAGTATTATTACTGTTATTGTTTATTCTGAACAGAGAGAGATGGAGAGAGATAGAAAGCAAGGAAAGTGAGAAAGCAAGCCGCCAGGTCTGGGACTCGAATTGTGGTTGGCCATGTAGCAGTCCAGCACCTCAACTATCACACCACCTGCTGGCCCAAGAAAGAATATTCTACCAAGTGTACTTTAGTTACTTTTGTTTTTGTTTTGTTTTGTTTTGTTTTACACTGATAGGGGTGAGATTTAGGTAGAACAGAATGAATTTTTATTTTTGGAATTAATACATGTAAAGTATTTTTTTTTTAATTTTAAAAAAAAATTATTTATTTATTTAAAATTTGACCAGAGAGGGACAGAGTGTGTGAGAAGAGAGAGAGAAAGTGAGAAAGCAAGCTGCCAGGTCCAGGACTCAAACCACGGTCAGCCACGTGGGAGTCCAGTGCCCTTAAGCACTATGCCACCTGCCAGCCCCAATACATGTAAAATATTAAGAACAGTGCCTGGGCGGGCTGTGATAGCTCGGTGAAAGCACCATGTCCTGCAGTGCTGGAAACCATATGGAGGATGAAGGTTTTGTTTCGGGGTCAGCCTGTCCATTCTGGATGTGCATGTGTTTGCCCACGATCCTGGTTGGCTGAGAAGGCTGGGTGAGAGCTGCTGCATGAGACCCTGTTGAGGGTGCGTGCGAGTGTGCCTCTGCCTGTTTCTTGCTTGTTAAAGAAAGAAACTCTGAAGCAAAAAAACAGACCAGAGTCTGGCACATCCAGTGCACTCAGCTTAGGTGTTACGAATGTGATTATCATTGTTATGATTGTGCTTACTAATATAGATACTCGTGTAATTATTTTCTTTTAAGTAGTAACTGTGTGTGTGTAGCTCCTTATATGTATCATTGCTCTCTGAGAAGCATTCCGAAGCTGAGTTTGTGTTCATACCTGGGAGTACTGGTAATAAGCAGATTCAACTTGAACTCGATGAAAACTGGTGGTCTTTTTATTTTTATTCACCAAGTGTATGATTCTAAATATACTGACTCTGTTCCTAATTGTTTAGCCATGTTTTATGATGGTCGAAGAAGAAGGTGATTTTGAATTTTGTAAATTATTTTCTTTTTCCCGCAGAATTGATAAACGAGACAAATACAGCCGAAGACGTCCTTATAACGATGATGCGGATATCGACTACATTAACGAAAGGAATGCCAAGTTCAACAAGAAAGCAGAGAGGTTCTATGGAAAATACACAGCCGAGATTAAACAGAATTTGGAAAGAGGAACAGCCGTTTAATCCCTTTAGGAACTGTTTAGAAGCTTGAGAATGGAGTGAAAATGTGTGCTAGCAAACGGAAGTTCCGTGTGAAGTGTTATCAGCTAACCAGCATTTGTGTCTCGGTCTGTGCCCTCCCACACAGCATTTAGAAATAAATGTTTTTTCTTAAACTTACACTTCCATGTATATTTCCACGTTTTGTGCTTGGATATAAGACGTATTTCTTGTAGTAAGGTCGTTTTGTAAAAACTGCTTTGTATAAATTCTATTATTTTTCTATGTATTTTAAATGTGATTGATCTTTAAAGCAGCAGGGCTGAGACAGCCGGCGCATACGCAAACGGCGGCATTCGCTCATGTAGTCGCCGTTGCCTTGAATGTGGTTACGGATCTGACGGAATCGGGAGCTGGACTCAGGAGCCATTTGGGGCTCGTGACTCTGCAGCTGGTGACAGTGAGGGAGGGACGCAGTAGCTTCTGGGGGCCTGTGTAGTCTCTGCCCGTGGCTGCAGGCGACCAAGTTCAGGGAGGAGCTGGTCTGTCTTCCCATGAATAATGACAATGTACAGTTCCCTTTTTAAGAAGCAATAAAATGCTTTGGAGTAGAATCCCTATTAACACTTTGTTTCTCATTTAACCCCTCGACATCGACATCTCTATCCAGCTACCTGCCTCCCTCTCCGCGCGCGCGCACACACACACACACACACACACACACAACACACAAACCCGTATATGCCACCATTCTACAAACACTAAAACTTGTTGTTATGGGATTTTCCCCCAGGGTTTTTTTTTTTTTTTCTTTTTGCTATAGGGTGTGTGTGGTTGTCGGGGTTGGGGGGAGAGAGAGAAATCACCCCCTGGGGGGATGCCTATTTCACAATTCCTTCTCTTCCATTTTCTGGTATTTTGGGCACATGCACACATGTGCTTAGCATGATTCAGGCTGGTGACTGTAGGACTCAAACCGTGGAGTTGGCTATGTGGGAAGAATTCAGTGCCTTAACCTCCACGCCACCTGCTGACCTAATTATGGAAAGTTGCAAACAGACAGAATGACATGACTTCCATGTACCCAATATCTGGGTTCATTAATCAACTTATTGCTAATCCTTTTATTACAAATTGCCTTTTTTTGTTTGTTTTTTTGTTTTTGAGAGGTTACTGGTATAGGGCGCGTGCGCTCGCCAGAAAGGCAGAGAGAGACAGAGATAAAGCGAGCAATCACCCCCCGGGGGGATGGCCACGCCACAATCCTTTCTCCGTTCTCTCGGGATCTTGGGCATGCACGCACATGCGCCTGCGTGAGTTTAAGCCGCCGGGTCCGGGACTTGCACCACGGGTGAATACATGGGAGTCCAGTGACATAGCCATTACGCTAACTGATAGTCCCATAAATTGCCTTTTTTAAAAAGTTTATTCGCGATTGTGCATGAGAGAGAGAAAGGGTCATCCTTGATGGTCTTGTCACACTGATCCCTTTTGCTGGCCTTCCAGCTAGTCAGGATTTGGGGTGTGTATTCAGGCAACTGGCATTCTTTTTTTTTTTAGAGGTTTTTGCTAAAGGGTGTGTGTGCTCACCAGAAAGACAGAAACAGAGAGACAGAAAGCGAGAAATCCCCCCCCAGGGGGGACGGCCACACCGTAATCCCTTCTCCATTCTCTCGGGATCTTGGGCACGCACGCACACACGCCTGGCGTGAGTTTTAAGCCACCGGGTTCAGGACTTGAACCGTGGTCGGCCACATGGGAGTCCAATGACATAGCCATTACGCTAACTGCAGGTCCCAACCTGGCATGTTTTTAAGCTGACTTGATCCAACTTGAGGGCCAACATGGTGTCCATCACTGCAGGCCAATTCGCTATGCATTATGCTTTGTCAACTTATTATTATCTTTTCCATAGAGCATTTGTGCTCACCAGAGGCAAATAAAGGAAAAGTGAGAAATCACCTCCAGGGACATGACCAGACCGCGATCCCTCCTCCAGTCTCTCAGATCTTGGGCATGCATGCACATGTGCCTGGTGTGAGTTTTTTCAAGTCACAGGGTTTGGTACTCATTGTCAGCCACGTGGAAGTCTAGCACCTTGACCTCTACACCACCTCCTGGTCTCAAGGGTTTATTCCCTTTTTAAGTGAATGCAGTATTTTAAATTTCTGTTCTTATTTTGCTTCTTCACCTAGCATTTTTTTGTGTGAGCAAGAGAGAGAGACAGACTGGTGTTTTTTGTTGTTGTTGTTTGTTTTTACTTCGTTTTTTTTTTTTTTTTTCCATAGGGCACATGTGCTTGCAGGAGAAATGCAGTGGAGGGAAAGTGAGAAAGCACCCCCAGGAGGGATGGGACACCGCAATCCCTTCTCTATTCTCCTCTTGAGATTTTTGGCCCGCACACACGTATACCCTGCATGATCTTCAAGCCTCAAGCCACTGGGTCTGGGACTCCAACTTCGGTCAGCCATGTGGCAGTCCAATGCTTTAACTACCACGTCACCCGCCGGCCCCAAGATGGGGGTTTTGGACAGATTCACCACGTCATGATCATCCTGCCCTGCCTCTCAGCTGGGCCCCAGGTCTGTGCCGCTGTGTCCTGCCTGTTTTAGACCCGGCTCCTGTGCGGCCTAGCTACCGGCTCACCTATGCCCCGGGGCTCGCCTCCCCAGCAGGTCTGCCACGAGGCCTTGCCTTGGAGAGTGCATGGAGTGTGTGTCAGTCTTTGCACTCCTGGACACGCTCGGCAAGACTGAGAACTGGAAAGGGCCTCCCTGTCTCAGGCGTGCCTACCCGTGAGCCCCGTGCAGCCCTCGAGGACGCTGTCAGCAGTCAGTCCTTCCTGTTCTTCCTTACGGCCTTTCTCATCTAGCCATGGAACTGATGAGACTGGGCACCTAAACACAGCCGGGTGTATCTGGGGGTCTGTAGAGGATGGCCATGTCAATGAGCAGTGGAGGTGCTCTCTAGTGGGCGTGGTTGAGGACAGAGGACATCCGCAGCCACCCTTGGACTCTCCCGATTGCTGCGCTCGCTTAGTTAGAGGGAGAAGGGTCCCCACTGTGCGTACTGAGGGGCTGCACTTGCTGGCAGAGCTGGGGAGACCTGCTGGAGGGGTGGCATGGAGGTAGATGGAGGGGAGACGGTGGTGGAGGTGGGTGTGAGGAAGAGAACTGAGGGTAGTCGTGCCAGCTGAAGACTTACCTGACTAGTAAGCTAGTCTGCAGATTGTTTCATGAACACATCCTTCAAATTATGTAAGTTCAGGTGCAAAGTTTTTTGAAGACTAAATGATAAACTTATACGTATAAGAGAAAAACAAAACTTTTTTGGTATTATCTGGAAATAGTTCACTCTGATGTGTATCTGTTAATTTTTTTGTCATCAAAAGAGCACTTTGCAAAATATAATCTTTTGTGAAATCGTAGTTTAGTATTAGTTTGTAACTTATAAATATTACCTGTATTTTTGGTATAATGACTTTATACTTTGAAGCTTGTATCTGAATTTGTTGCTGAAATTTATTTTGCCAGTGTTTTTTTCTTTTAAGAATTATTTATTTAGGGGACCAGCAGGTGGTGTGATGGTTAAGAAGCTGGACACTCCCACATGGCTGGTCATGGTTCGAGTCCTGGATCTGGTGGCTTGCTTTCTCACCCCCTCTCTCTGTCTCTCTCTGGTCAAATAAAAAATAAATGAATGAATAAATAAAAATTAAATAAATCTTTAAAAAAGAATAATTAATTTATTTATTATTATTTTTTAATTTGACCAGGGAGGGACAGAGAGAGAGAGAGTGAAAGTGATGGGAACCAGCAGTTAGCGTAATGGCTATGTCACTGGATTCCCATGTAGTCGACTGCGGTTCGCGTCCCGGACCCGGTGGCTTAGAACTCACGCCGGGCATTCATTTATTTTAATTTGACCAGAGAGAGAGACAGAGAGAGAGAAAAGGAAAGTGAGAAAGCAAGCCACCAGGACCAGGACTTGAACCTTGGTTGGCCATGTGGGAGTCCAGCACCTCAACCACCATGCCACCTGCCGGCCCCAGCCAGTAAAGCTTCTGTCGTAGGGGGAAAAATTGTTGAGATTTAGTAAAGTAGGAAACAAATGAACAGGGACCAGCAGTTGGCGTAATGGCTGTTGCGGGACTCCCATGCGATGGAGCGCAGCGTTCTAGGTGGCTCTGGAGTGAGTTTGGCCCCACTGGCGCTGTCTCAGGCCTTAGTGACATGACGGTGGCAGTAGCACGGATGTGGTGGGTCTTAAACGGAAAGCCACGCCCAGTGCTGAGCACAGTGGGCCGGGGCAGTGGACACGAAGTGCCGGCACTGCCGCGGGTGTGTTCGCAGCAGGCTTCTCTCCCGTTCTCCGCTTCCTCGGGGCGAGCGGCGCTGTGCAGTAGCTATTGAAAGCCTGGACTGGGCCGGCAGGCGGTGCGGTGGTCCCCACAAGGCCAACTGTGCACTTCGGTCCCGGGCCGGTGACTTAGAAAACGCACCAAGCGCATATGTGCGTGTGCTCCAGGTCCTGAGAGGAGACTGGAGGAGAAGGGATAGTGGTGTGACCATCCTCCCGGAGGGGTGATTTCTCACCTTCCTTCTCTCTGTCTCCCTCTCTCTCTCCATGTGCCCTATAGCAAATTAAAGAAAAAAAAAATCATAGGCTTGGGTGCCAAAGAGCTTGACTTCAAATCCCAGCTCTTCCATTTGCTAGGTGAGAGCCTGTTAGCTTGTTAGCTGGGGTCGCCATAACAGACTGTACTGCACACTGGGAGAACTGAGCAAGTCCCTTACGTCCTGGTGTGAGTTTAAGCCACCGAGTCTGGGACTCGAACTGCGGTTGACTACTTGGGAGTCCTATTCTGGAGGTTGGAAGTCCAAGATCAAGGTGCCTGCAGGGCTGGTTTCTGGTGAGGCTCTGTTCCTGCCTTGGAGACTCCGCCTTCTCACCACCTCTCCTCTGAGTGTGCACACTCCTGGTGCCTCTTCCTCTTCTCCCTCTTCTCCACCCCCTCCCCACAGGGCACGTGTGCTAGAGGAGAGAGATGGAGAGAGACAGGGAGACAGAAAGTGAGAAATCACCCCGAGGGGGGATGGTCACAACACTTTCTTCTCCATTCTCCTCTTGGGATTTTGGGTGTGCTCGCACACATGCCCAGCGTGATTTTCAGGCTGCCGGGTCTGGGACTCAAACCACAGTCAATCATGTGGAAGTTCAGTGCCTTAACCACCAGGCCACCTCTTGGCCCTATGGGTCTCTTTTTAAAGAAATAATTTCCGTTCTCAGAACCAGCAGTTAGTGTAATGGCTGTCACTGGACTCCCATGTAGTTGACCGCAGTTCAAGTTCTGGACTTGGCGGCTTAAACTCATGCTGGTGTGCGTGCCCAAGATCCTGAGAGAACGGAGGAGAAGGAATTGCGGTGTGGCCATCTCCTCTGGGGGTGATTTTTAGCTTTCTCTCTCTCTCTCTTTCTGGTGAGCACACGCTCCCTATAGCAAAAACTCCCCCCCCCCCAATATATATTTCTGTTCTCATTTTGCTTCTCTCCTAGAATTTCCTTTTTGTGAGAAAGAGTGGGAGACAGGGAGGGAGAGTACAGTCCTCCTGGAGGGATGTGA